CAGGCACTGTTCTAAGTCTTCACAGGTACTAATTCACAGCAACTACATGAGCTACTGCCATCCCCATTATACAAATGCCTGATGCCTGTAACATCAGTTGGTTCCCTATAGTAAAATCACACCCAATGTAACAACAAGCATGTGTGTGTTGGGGACTGGTAAAGTGGAGGTGGTCCAGGTGCTGTGCCAGGTATGGAAGACACAGCAGTGCACCAAGAGACATGACGCCCTGCCCTCATGAAGTTGACATTATGGGGAGGAGAGACATATAATTGACAAGATCAATGAGTAAATATACAGTATATTTGAAAGTTATTATGCTAAGGAGGGAAATAAAGCATGGAAGAGGGATGAAGATTTTGGGAGAGAGAAAGGGGAGTAGCAATCTCAAACAAGATGGATAACAGCAGTGTTCCTGTTGAGAACTGACCTGTCAATATTTTAAAGGGGCAGAAACAGGACCTAGGGAAACGTCTCTCAAAGGACTGTATGCATGAACCTCCAAGTTGCACGGGAAACGCTAACCTGGTGAGAAGCTGGAGGAAAGTCAGCCCACGTCTTTCAGCTCCAACCACCTGTTATCACACAGGGTTGAGATCAATGATCAACTGTTATGCAGCTCTTCATTGTGTGACTTATGAATGTTTAGAGAGTCTGCTCCATATACTCAAGCAGCTTTCATATATGCAAATTAAGATTTTGGCTCCACCAACAAAACATGGCTTGAGTGCCAATATTTGCCTCTGGTGTTGATGGTCTTTTTGTATTTCTCCTTGAGCATCTTTCCAGCAACACCAGAGTTAGGTCAAGACCAGAGTTTCAGGATCTTGAGCACTGACTGAGGGTGGAAGTGATCCCATGTCCTATGCCTCTTCTCACAGACTCTTCTGCATTGTCTAATTAAAATGTTTTCTGGCCCAGTATTTTTCTTTCCTCAACTGGCAACTCCACTCCCTGCTCTCTACATGATGCCTATAAGTTCTTACTATCTTTACCTTCGGGGCTCGCCAAAGGCTATTGTTCATAAATGAATTAAAAACCAAAATGATGACATCTGAAAAAGAAACAATCCCAACTGCTGTATCTCTGAGCTATTAATGTAGCAGAACTTGGCCATCTAAAGTCCACTTTTCAGGAAACATCAGATTCCCCCTGGCATCTAAGCACTTGGAAGAAAATATCTTTTGCCGTTTAGAAGGTGCTCCTGAGCAACTGGCAGCAAATGAATACCACCAGGAAGATCCAACGACTCAGACATTATGCTCAGTGAATGGGGTGGGCATCTTTACCTGAAAGGAAAGTGGGGTTTGATTAGCCACCCATGGTGAAATCAGGCAGACAAGGAGAATTGATGGGAAAATAGAGATGAAAGGAGGGAAAAAGACGCAGGAAGGTAAAGTAAGTGGTGAGGATGGTCAAGCAGCAAGGCAGCCTTGCTGTTGGCAATCCAACTCAGCAACAAAATCGCCATCACCAGGGACCAGTGGACAGCGACTAAGCCTTGAAGAGAGACTTTTGTGGTGTGTGGGAGCAAAGTGCCTCATATGTCCTGGCTACTGACTGTTGTGGGTTGAATTTTGCCCCCTAAAAAGATATGTTCAAGTCCAACCTCTGGTATTTGTAATTGAGAACTTGTTTGGAAATGCAGTCTTTGTGGATGTAATCAAGATGGGGTCATACTGGAATAGGGTGGGCCCTAAGCCCAATGATTGATGTCCTTATAATGAAAGGAGATTTAGAGATGCAGACACACAGGGAAGAAGGCCATGTGTTGACAGAGGCAGAGATCGGAGTGATGCCGTCACAAGCCGAGGAACGCCAAGAATTGCCAGCAGCCACCAGAAGCTGGAAGAAGCAAGGAAGATCCTCCCCTAGAGCCTTCAGAGCGAGCACGGCCCTGCCAACACTTTGATTCTTGACTTCTGGCCTCCAAAACTGTGAGAGAGTAAATTTCTGCTGTTTTAAGCCACCCAGCTGGTGGTAATTTGTTACATTAGCCCTGGGAAACTAATACAGATACCAGACTGCTACCTGGATAAAGCTACCTCAACTAGAGCCAGACAATAGCTGAGTTCACCTTTCAGGTGCAGAATTAATATTGTGTGTGCTTACTTTAACCTTCTTCCTCTCTTCACTTCCTGCCCTCAGACCAAACTCTTGCATAGTCAAGAGAGACCTAGATTCTTCACAGAGCAGAGGTAGATGTTTGGAGAGAGCACACATCACTGACTGGGGGAACTTATAAAGCAAAACACTGCATTTACCCACTAGCACCAGGAGGTGAGTAGATAGATTCCTTTCCTTTAGAGCCTGAGTCCATGAGACCCTGATCAAAAATTTAAGAAAAATGGAAGGCTCCACTGAGAACTTCCTGTCAAAAATTACACCTCATTCAAAGTGTAAGGATTGGGTTCTAAATCTTCTGACACATCCCTCCTGCTTCCCTCCCCAAGAGCTCACAGCTCACGTTGTCAGCAGGGTTTGTGGAGTGATTGCATCTTCAGGCAAAGCTCTTTGTCTGACAGGCTGGATATTTTAGACACAATTTTTTCCTAGGTGGCATGAGATATTAAAAGTGATCTCAGCAAAATATTACACTGTGCCAACCTTACCTTCCTAGCCTCTGAGGGACCCTTAGAGTGATGTGCCCACAAATGCACCCTAAATCATGGTCCAAAGCATGAGTCCCTGGACACCATAAGCCATCCTGGCTGGGGCTCTGTGTCCCTTGTTCCTGGCTTTTTCTTCAAGACTTTCTGTTCCCCTATGTGTCTAGAAGGACAGCGGTTTATTAAGGGCACACACACATTTCCTCTCTGAACAAGTGGGCGCCTGGAGTCAGACCCCTGGCCTGGGTTCATGCGACCTGGGCTCCTGAGAATTAGAAGGTGCTTTTCAGGATAAGACTGACAGTCCAACCTAAGTGCCAATGTAGGGGTCCTGGCAGTGAGATGGAAGCAAAGCACAACAAGACCAGGTAGAGAAGATGAGGTGATGGACTGGGATGCAGAGCTTGGATCAGGCATTTCCTGAGGTGCCCAGGCATCACCATGAGTTGAATTGTGTCCCTCAAAATTCATGTGTTGAAGTCCTAACCCCCAGTACCTCTGAATGTAGCCTTATTTGGAAAAAGGATCTTTGCAGACGTCATTAGTTAAGATGAGGTCATACCAGAGTAGGGCGGGACCTAACCCAATATAACTGGTATCCTCATTAAAGGGAGAAATTTGGACACAGATACACACACAGGGAGAGTGCCGTGTGAAGATTGGAGTTATGCTGCCACAATCCAAGGAACCACCAGAAGCTGGGAGAGAGGCATGAAACAGATTCTCCCTCACAGTCCTCGAAAAGAACCAACCCACCAACAACTTCACCTCTGACTTCTTGCCTCCAGAACCGTGAGACAATAAATTTGTGCTTTTCAAGCCTTCAGTTTGTGGTGCTTTGTTATAGCACCCCCAGGAAACCAATACGAGTGGCATGCCTAATTGAGGAGATTGCTGCTACAAACCCCAACTTTATATGAACAAAGGATAATTTTATTTATTATTCTTTCTGTAGGAACACTATAAAACATTACTTATCTAACACCCCAAAGGAACTTTACTACAATCAAGTGTTTTAATATTTGCAAAGTCTTTCTTTTTAAGACTTGGAGTTTTGATCACTTTCTACCCAATAGTTTAAAGAGTGTGGAAACATATCTGTGTGCCAATTTAACTTATAGGTTTTTGAAAAGAAGAACATTTTACAGTCAGAAACCAATTCTGTTTTGTTTTCATCTTTGAAATCTGCTTTAAAGATCACATTGTAACTACTCTTCACTCTACAAGTTTTTCCAATAGCTTTTAAGTCAAAAGCCAATAAAATTTTGACCTGAGTGGACCCACCTCTCTCTACAAGATAGGAGTCTGTTTCTTCTCAGTCTTCTGTTGTTTGATAGATTAACAGAGTATGTCAGGATGGTATGCAAGACAAAGTCATTGCCGGCAGAGAGCTTGGAGAAATTTAAGGTGGAATTTGCAACTTCAAGCAAATTTTTCCCCCAAAGAAACCTTTTCACCCTGACAAGGTGCATCCTTTTTTAAAATGTCTACCTTGTAGAGAACTAAATTTGTATCTCAAATAGTGGCACCAAAACAAGGCCCAAGTGTGTATAAATTTTCAACTCACAATATGGAGCCATAATAATCATCCTCTTTAGCTATTTCTTCCCATTTCGCAGTGAAATATATACATTTAGGCGACAAAATGTCATTTTCTCAGAGATGTTAATTACATGAAGATCCTTAGTGTAAGCACATAAACAGTGATTTAGGAAGTGAGATCACAGTCTAACCATGTTATATAAAGGAGCCCAAGCCTCAGAGTGAGACAGACGCAAATACATTCTCCTCATTCCTCTTTGTGCTGTTAGATTGGCGAGACTTCCTAACCTTCCTTTAGTCCGAGTTTGTATTATCTTTGTTGGTATCAAATAGGCTTCATCTGTCCTGGATTTATTTATAATCTTTCTGATGACAATTCAGAGAGCATCTTCCCTGCCGTGACAGCATAATTATATCCATGTGTCGATTCGGGGATGTCATATTTGTCCTAACATTTGTATGTTGAAGGAATAATGAGGAACTGAAAAGACTGAAGATTGGTTAAAATCTTCAAAGGCTGAAATCGGTTTAAAAAAAGGTGGAACAACAAAGATATACACCAACTGATGTATGGTGTGATGGTGAACACTGGATGAGAGCTTTTAGAGTCCTCTATCAACTCAACAAGGCAAAGGGATGCAGAATAACCGTTAAATCCAGTGACACAAGTAATATTCTGTTTCCTCTAAACATTTCACAAGGTCAAAACCTGGACCCACCAGGTTCTCCCTCAAAAACAAATGTCTTCCCAACGTCTCTATTTCCATTTACAAACTCTATCACATCCCAAGTTCCCCGGGGTTGGAACCTCAAAGTCACTCACTAATTTCACAAACCTCTAAGCACTGAGCTCACAGCCTGGTGGGGAAGTCAGAAATCCATCCCACAGAATGTGCTACGAGCCATGGCGTCAGAACTCAGAAGTGTCCACGGATCTGCAGACATGAGATGCCCCAACCAGCACGAGAGGTGGGCATGCTCTCCTCCATTACGTCCAATCACCTACCAAAGAGAAACTGCACTTTACTTCTTCAGAATGATTAGGGAGAAGTATGTGGACCTCACTCTTCATGAGAAGGAAGCTCCATCAGTGCCATTTTATCACTTCTCCTCCCAGATAAAAAGTGAGTTTCATGAGAACAAATCCAATAAAAGACAATAAACAAAGGGGATTTTTTTCTAACTGAAATAGAAGTGCCATGAGAGCAGAATTATTTTCTATTTTGTTCATGCTTGGCAGTTACTAGGAGCTCTATAAATATTCATCAAGTAAATGAATGAACAAATATGTAAATAAATGAATAAATTTCTTCTCTGTCTTCTCACGGTCAGGGCAAGCCAGCAATCCTGGGTGAGTGAATCTGTTTGAGAGACACAAATGAAGCTGGAGTGGGCTGTGCCAAGGGCCAGACAGCACGGAAGGAGAGGGCTGGAGTGGAGGGCAATGACCAGTGCATCTGATCACCTACCTAAGCGAGGTCCTCCTACCCAGTGCTTATCACTGATAAACTGACGTTTTCATCCCTGCAAGTCTGGTTCTGCATATTCTGTTGGTTCAGAAATCACGTGAGAAAAGAGGGGTGTTGCTTATTGATCCCCTGAAATCCCCACATTTGGTATATGGACATATAGAGAGCATTTGGTGTAGATATGTGGTATGTAAGCTGGGAACCTTGAGTAGTAAATGAGAATTGGAGAAATTGAAAAGGTTGTGGAGTCAAGGTAAGTAGCTTCTGGGAACTGCTGCAAATGGCCATTTCTATCACCTCCACAATCCCACACGGCCTGGGCTTGTGGCCAGCAGCTGGTCCTACAGGGACAGAGATGCTTCTAATAACACCCGTCTTCCATCAAGCTGGAAACAGAGGCCTCACTCTGTAGACTGCTGCAGTTTGGTTTTGAACTAGGAGAGTGCAGCTTGCTTAGGCATTCAATGCTTTCTTGGCAATTGTGGTGGAACGGCATTTGCTGCTTTCTGGATTATCTCAGCCAGCTCCGTATGCAGGGATTTTAAATTATTATCAGTAAGCTCTGTGTGTCTGGGGACACTGGGATCCCGTTTTAAATTGGGAGTGCCAGACCAAGACAGCGGCAACTTCACTGTCCCAAACTCCATCAAGCGTACTCAGGCATTGAGAAGAAAGTGAGGGATTAATCTCTCCTTACCATGTACCTTGTCCAGAGGCTTCGAGTGTCACATCACCATTTCCCTCCCACCACTACCATCTCTACCATCTCCACCACCACCACCATCACCATCACTATGACCATCACCTCCATCATCATCACAACCACCTTCATCAACACCACCATTATCATCACCACCATCAACATCACCATAGCCACTACCACCACCATTATCTCCACCACCACCATCACCACCTCCATCACCACAAACTACCATCACTTCCATCATCATCACCACAACCACCACCACTACTATGACCTCCACCACCACCACCACCACCTCCGTCACCAGAACTACCATCACCTCCATTGCCACCATCACCTGCACCATCACCAACATTACCACCATCTCCTCCATTACCACGCCCACCACAATCACCCCACCACTACTACGATCACCACATTACCACCAGCATTACCGCCCTACACCATGTAATCTCAAGTTGGATCTGCAATTTTTATTGTATAAACTCTAACCCCGAATTTGTATTTCAGAGATCCAGACTGGTTTTATTCACAGAAATGTGATTCGCCAACAAAAGAGGAATAAGGGCATGTGTTATTTTTATAGTTAAATTATAGACAAAAATAAATCATAACGTTTAGATGAATCTCTCCTCAAAATAAAATGAAGGAATGGCAGCACTTTTTTTCAAATGTCATTTTGCGTGAGAGCGGAGAAAAACAACTTAATTCAGTGTTTGTAAATCCAAACATCCAAAGTACAGCGAAATGTCTTGTGTCTGGCTTACTCAAGTTTGCTAGAAAAATCAAGGAGGAGCTAGAATGCCTTGAAAATGTGCTTCATTTCATTATGAGAAGAAGAACTATAGAATAATTAAAAAAAAAAAAAAAAAAAAGAAACCAGGTTAATTAAACGAGAGAGAGAGAGAGTGATTCCATTAGGAGGAAAGTTTCCCTTTCACAAGAGAAGCTGGGCAGGCAAAGAGGGGGAGATGAAATCCTAACAGCCAGGATGGGCAGGTGTGACTGTGAGGAGGGGCTGTAGATGGTCCCAGATAGGAGAGTGCAGCCGCCGAGCATCAGCCTGCAGCAGGTTCAGTCTCTAAGCATCTCCGACGTGCTCCAGGTGAGGCTGCTGCTGCTGGTCTGTGGAGCATGATGTTGAAGAGCAACGCATTTGAGAAGGAAAGAAACAATCTTAGAAGCAGGTCGAACTCAGAAACGCAGCTGGGCTTTCCTGAGAGCAGCAGAAGCGGGAGGGGGTGGTGACACATGAGAGGCACTCCTACTAGTGCAGGAAAAAATGCGGCAGATAGAATTGCTCCCGGGGCCCGGAGCATCCGGAAGAGGAAGGAGAGCATCCTGAGGAGCACTGTGAAAAGTATCCTCTACAGATCCCCGTGGGATGTGGCTCTCACCCTGCTGCACTCTGGATCACCAGGACAGGTTTAAAAAATACCAGTGCATGACATAGCAGCCCCACCTGTGTCAGTCAGGGTTCTCCAGAGAAGCAGAACCAACAAGATGTATGAAAGAGGGAGAGATTTATTTTAAGGAATGGGCCCATGAGATTGTGGAGGCTGGCAAGTCCAAAATCTGCAGGCTGGATACCCAGGAAAGAATTTCAGAATTCCTCCTTGCTCAGGGGAGATCAGCCTCTTTCTACTAGTGCCTTCAACTAATTGGATGAGGCCCACCCACATTATGGAGGCAATCTCTTTACTCAAGTCCACTGATTTAAACGTTAATCTGGTCAAAAAATACCTTCACAGCAACATCCAGACTGGTATTTGACCAAATATCTCAGTACCATGGCCCAGCCAAGTTGATGCATAAAATTAACCACCACACCACCGCAGAGACTATGATGTAATTGGTTGGGGTATGGCCTAGGCCTCAGGATTTTTAAAGCCCCTCAAATTTCTAAGGCACAGCCAAAGGTGAGAACCATACTCTAGGTGCACAGGCTTTTGAAGCATCAACAGCAGGTTCAGTTCAGGAACTTTCTTTGATTCCCTGAAAACCAATGTGAGTACCAGAGGGAAATCATCCCCAGAAGCTGGATTTCCTAGACCTTTACAATTCCTCAGCAAGAGGAAGCAAGTCACTATGTCACAGGACAGAAAATGTATGTCCATAAGATTCAGTAACAACCATGCCGCTGGAGAGAGCCAACCTTCAAAGTAGCCTGAGGGACTCCAAACGCCAGACTCAAAGGGGAAATGAAAACTAAGATGCGAAAGAAAGGCTGCCACCACTGCAAAGTTCTGCGTTCTGTAAGAAGATAGCATTGTCTCAAATATGTCTCCAAAAATACCTCCTCTGATAGAGGAGACAATATGTAGGTTAAACGGTGCCATTGTTGACCTCTTGAAGAGAGATTTTTTGCGGTGGAGTTAACTTCCTAGGTCATGGTGCCCTGGCACCAACGGTATCCCGCAGACATGAAACCAAGGGTGATTTTTCTTCTCTGTCCACCAACCCGCCCTCAGCTCTCCCACTGAGCTTCCACTTCGTATTTGACATCAGTACCATGTATGATGTCCTGAGAACCACACTTTGCTTGGGGTAGCTCCTCTAGGCACTGGGGTTAGTTAGTGATATAAGGTCAGTGCTGTGGGTCCTGCAACCTCTTTATATTCTAAAGTGGGGAAAGAGAAATTGAACTAACTCAACGTCTAAAGTCCTGAAGGCATTAAATCCATTGTGATCGATGGCAGCCCAGTTCACACGTGACTGACGAAGAAACCCAGACTCTAATGAACAAAAAAAGAAATGAAAGAGGGCTGTAATTTTATTAAACATTAATTTAAAATTAGGAATTATAGATTTTGGACCTGACTTCACAAGAACAAGAGTATTAAGTTTTGGACGTTAATTACTTTAGACACAAAATTAGTTGAACTTAAACTTACATGAGTTTTCAGTGTTGGTGGCCTTTCATTTCTCTCTGAAAATTTGTGCTGGTCCCTAGGGCTGTTTACATTATTTCAGCTCCTGTCCTCCAGGCACGTGGGAGAATCGCGCTTCTGTGCCCTTTTTGAACTCAGTCATTGCCATGACCATGAAACTTGTTTCAGCCCATGAAATGTGAGCAGAAGGCACATTGTCACTCCCAGGTGAAAGCTGTAGGCACCAATGTGTGCTTAGCTAAGTGTGACATTCCTTCTGGCACATGGCCAGCGATATTCCAGATGGTAGCCACGTTCTCAGCTTTACCAGAGTAAAGACCATAGTGCTGCGAGCAGAGCCCCCAGCTGACCAGTGAAGTCCATGGAAATAAACCTTCCCAGCGTTAATCCACCGAGATCCAGGGATTGTTTGTTACTGCAGCATAACCTGCTCTGTCCTACTAAAACAAAATTTAATAAAAGAGGGCTTTACATTCAACTTTGAATCATCTCCAGGTGGTTGACATTTTATTCCAAGATCCTCTTAATGTTGACTTTTAATCAAATTGCAGAATATCAGATAAGCTACATTGGGCAATATGGCTGGAAAAAATGCAAAGAAATATAAAAAAGAATAAATTTCCTGCATTGACTCCAGTGTGGCTCAAAGTTAATTTGAATATTTCACCATTCTGATTCAACTGACAGCTTCTGGGAGCAAAATATACACTGCCAAGCAGCAGTCCCAGGAAGGTGCCCCAGGGGGAAGTGGGCTGCTGAAGGTGGGAGCAGGGCTAGCCTGACAGATAGCCCATCAGAGAAGGACAGTACCCCTGGGCCGACCAGGGGCTCATGCTTAAATCCAGCGGGTAAGCATTAAGAGAACAGAAAGGAGCGCTCCTAATTCCCCATCATGTTAACATGTGGAGGGAATGCCACTTGACTTACTCTCTCAACTCAATGTTGTTCCAGTCTCCCTGATCACTCGCCATACAGGAGTGGGTGATGGCCCTGGACTTATGTTCCATGCCTGCATGGAGCTGATCTACAAGAAGTCTGCAAGCAACAGGGATTCCATCACCCTTCTTCCCTCTCCACCCAGGACCAATGAGAGGCAGCAATCTTGGGTAAACTGTCTGATTTAGAGGTCCCCGCTATACCTTTGTGACTTGCTCCAAAAACCAGATGAGAGAAGGGACAAGCAGAGAGGTAGCAAGCCCATCAGGCGAATGCAGAAGCCACATCCAATGACCTCCCTTTGACCAGCAGCTAAGCTGACGTTTTGATCTCCATCTGTCTGCTTCTTGTGTCTGCCTTTCAGTTGGCTCACAACTCCAGTGGGAAAGAGAGGGATGTTATTTACAGACCTCTGAAAATCCCATCAATGTGTCTCCTGCTGACCGGCTGTGTGGACCCATATGGAAAACCAACAGCCATGATGTGGTGGCGAGAGCAGCAGGGGATCTGTCTGGGGCCCAGGCCTTGAGGTCGTGCTGGTTTCTTGTGACTCCTGCTGGTACCAGCTGCTCACTAAGGCCAAGGGGGCCTCCGAGGGACAGAGACTCTGGCAGACACAGAGAGCTGCTGGGTGGTTGGGAGGGGTGTGTGTGTGTCTTTGGGAACCTAGAGGTTGGTCTTACTGTGCAGACACAAAGGAGGGGAAAACCCCTCTGCCTCAGCAGGAAGTGGCAGTGGAGAGAGAGGCAAGAAACTCTCACCCATTATGAACCAGGGGGAACATCTGGAAGAGAGTGAAACCCAGAAATACCACGTGGTATTAATTAATTGCATCTAGAGGGGAGCCTTCTTCTCCAGGAAATGTCATCTAGTTATTTTCTACAACACTTTTTGGGGTACTTACAAATTTCTTAGCACTATTACTTAAATTTTTTATTGTAGAAAAGATAATGAAATAATGAAGTTTCTATCGTCTTGTTACCCGGCCCACCAACCCCATAAGATATTAACCACAGCCCTGCTTAGAACATACCTAATATGTTCTCTTTAGCTTACAGGAAACCACAAAGAGAGGGAGGAAATGGCTGAGACATACAGTCAAAACCAGTTAAAATCGGTTGAAGGCAACATGGCAATCTGACTTGACATAGACCCACAGCTCATTATACACTCATTATAATACATTGCCATATTATGGGACACACTCATTGACACCATGACAGTTTGCAACTGTCGTGGCAATGGCAGGATATAACCACGTAAGGAAAGAAAAGAGGTAGCATACTTGTTCCTCTGAAAAGCCTACCCAGTTCCCCAAACACCTATGAATATTCCTCCCCTTCATTACCCTGACCCCTCATAACAGCTGCTTAATCACCCCAAGAGCTGAGAAGTTGATTTGTGAACCTAGTTCCCACTTCTTTCTTTGGCTGTTGAATAAAGCTTGTGCTGTTGAACACTCAGCTTCGGTTTTGTTTCAAAGCCAAGACACCAAACGGAATAGAACCCTCTGAGGAAGAGATGGATTGTGGGTACAAGACCCATCCCTGGGCCTCTCCTCAGAGCTCCTCCAGGTGTGAGTCAGACTCCCACTAGAGTGAGGTGAAATTGCTAACAATCTATGCCTACCTTTTCCTTCTCACTGCTAGTTCAGGCCTTTGTAACCATTCCTCTGGATTTCTTGGTCCAAACAATGATACTGAAGGAGATCAGTATCCCCCACTTACTTCTCCATCCACGCCCACTGTGAAAGGAGAGCGAGGTTCTGCATGGGCCAAGAGAGAGGCAGGGGTGGTGCTCAGCTGCAACTCACCCTCCCGGCATGCTCTGAGGGTCCCCTGGCTGGGCAGTCCTAGTCCCATAGCGTGGGAGAGAGCAAGGTCCATGCAAGGGAATCCAGGAGAAGGTAAAGACAGATCCTTCCTCCTTGGAGTGTGAGAGGCTGTTTGCTCCTCCTTTTCTTCCTGAAACAAGGACTCAGAGATCCCATTTTCAGGTTAAGTTGAAGTCAGGGTTTTCCCAGAAAAACAGAACCAGTAGGATATATACAGCATTTATTTCAAGGAATTGGCTCACACGATTGCAGTTGGGCAGGCTGGAAACTCTGGGTTTTGGCACACAATGGAGTTTCTTCTTCCTCAGGGGAACCTCAGTTCTGCTGTTAAGGCTTTTCAACTGATTGGATTAGGCTTACCCACAGTATGGAGGTGCTCTCCTTCACATAAAGTCGACTGCTGAGAGATGTTACTCACATCTGCAGAATACCTCCACAACAACACCCAGATTAGTGTTTGACTGAATAACTGGGGACTATGGCCTGGCAAAGTTGACACATGAAACTAACCATCACAGTAGGACTCCTGAAATGGATGGTAGAGAGCTCCTGCTTGACATCAGGGTCTTTGGCACCTCTGAGGTTATGGAGTCGCCAAACGGCCTGCCGTGCAAAAAGTGGAGGAAAGATCGGAAAGGATAAGCCCACAACCAGCAAAGGGAGACAGAGTTAACTTTTCCATCGTGGTTATATGAATTTTCCCCATCCACATGCTGAGTTTAAATATGCATATATTAAATGTCAGCCTGAAAGTTGTTTGGCCCAGATACCAACTTCAGCCAGAACAAATGGCCCAGGCTAAGACCAAGGGACATCCATGGAGATGAAGACAGGTCATTCCAATCCCAGGGATGACCACAATGGGACTGATACAATGATCAATCCCCACCTGGGAAGAGCAGGATAGGAAGTGGTCCCTCACCATTGGCCAAAAGTCTGACTAACTCCAACAGCCAGGGGTCATCTTCAGCAAAATGATTTTAAATCTCATTTTTACTGTCTCAAAACTCATTGTCACCAAGGCAGACTACAAAATGGGCAATGTCACAAGTGGTTACTGAAAATCAACAACACTCAAAGTCTTGATGTTAGGTTTTCTTTTTCAGTTAGCAGAAGTAATGCACGCTTGTTGTAACAACTAAAACAGTGCAAAGATGTTAAGAAGGAGAATCTTCTCCTCCAGACCACTCTCCAGCTCTACCTTCCTGGGGGGCCTACTGTTAATAGCTCATACTTCTGCTGTCACAGTCTTTCCTATTCCTATAAAACTTTTCTAAGTATTTATACACAATCTGGGGATTTTTGTTTGTTTTTACCAAAATGTTTTTTCTATAAATATATCAAAGACATCTCATAAGTAGATATAGATTTATATTTCACCTTCTCACTTCTTTATGTATCTCTGTAGACATATGTAGTAATTTTATGTGAAGGTAATCATAGCATATGTGCTGATATTTTTAGTGTACTTTTTAAGATGTTGTGCTTGCCTCTCCCACCCCTGTCATATCTCCTTCTGCACTTTTCTCCCTGTTCATTTAATCATATACAAATACACACAGTTGTTTTACTGTCTGTTTTGTTTTAAATGCAATTGCTTTATACACACACCCACACACTTTGTTTTTCTCCTTCAACGATGACACGTGGGATTCCTGCAAGTCAACTGCTATTGGCCTAACTTGTTTATTAATAACTGCATGGAAGTCCCCAGTGTGCTTAAACCCATCGTTTATTCTGCCATTCCTCTCTTAATGCACATTGACTTGAGTGTCATGTTTTATCACAGAAACAAAGCTACATTAACCATCCTTGTAACTATGTCTGTATATACTGATCTTTTTTTTCTGGAGTAGTTTCCCAAGACTGAGATTGGTGGGTTAAAGGATACATGGTTTTACATGTAGTATAATATGATTTTACAATAGATATACATATATGGTTTTACATATTTTAATAGATGATACCAGAGCACATTCCAAAAAGGATGAACCAATTCATATTTCCCTTGACAACATTACAGATTTTCCATTTCTCCACATTCTCAACACAGTAGAGGCTTTGCTTTCTAATATTTGTCAATTTAAAGTTGTATCTCATTGTAACTTTACTATTGAGTTTGAGTATCTTTCTCCTCATGTTTGGTGCTCCTTTGAATTGTCTTTTCTGTGAACCACTTATTCACATCATTTGCCTAATTTTCTATTACATTATTTACCTTTTCTTATCAATTTAAGACCTTTTGAATATTTTATATTTTTTCCAAATCTATAGCTTCTTAAAATTCTCCTTATAGTATATATATCATTATATAGTTTTTCTTTTTATAAAATCAAATATATGTTATATATATATTTATATGTATGCATGCATATGTGTGTATACAGACTTATAAAAATACAATTCCATGTACATACATATGTATATACATATAGGATATATTTATGTATCCCAGCTTTCTTAAGATCTCCTCAATTCCTAAATTGTATACTTAGTCTTACAGATTTTCTTCTACTGTTTTTATTGCTACATTATTTACATTTAAAATTTTAAACCATTAGTTCTTGTTATCATTCCTAAGTAAAAAAGTACCCCAAAATACAGTAGATTGAAATAACAGCCATCTAGTTTTTCTCATGATTTCGTGGGTCAGGGATTCTGGAAGAGCTCAGCTGGGCAGTTGTTGCTGGAACCTCTCAGGGGTTTCCAGCCAGACATCAGTAGGGCTGCAGTCATCTGAAGGCTCAGCGGGGCAGTTGTTGCTGGAGCCTCTCAGGGGTTTCCAGCCAGATGTCAGCAGGGCTGCAGTCATCTGAAGGCTCAGCTGGGCTAGATGTTCAAGACGGCTCTTCCACATGACTGGCAGCTGATGCTGGCTGTCGGTTGGGAGCTCAGCTGGGCAATCCACCAGAGTACCACCACAGAATTTGTGGACATGTTTTAGAACCACCACAAATTCCTCCATCAAGAGGCTGAGTCTACTCCATCCCTTGAACCTGGGCTTGGCCATGTAACTTGCTTTGACCAATGGAATGTTACAAAGGTGATGTAAGCAGAGGCTTGGAAAGTGCTTGTCATTGAGGTGTGCCATCTCCGGCTGCTCATAGGAACTCTAGAACCACCACCATGTGCAAAAGCCCAGATTAGCCTGCTGGATGATCAATAACACATAACCCAGTTACCTCCATCAGCCCTGCCATTGGTAGCCTGGTGAGTGAAGCTATCCAGAACCAGCCAGCCCTCAGCTACTCTGCCAAATGGCCTCAGAACCACCAGATGACTGCAGACATATGAGTGAGCCCAGCTGACATCACGTAGAGCAGAGACAAGCTGTCCTAGCTGAACCAAACCAAATTACCAACATACCAAACTGTGAGCAAATAAATGATTGCTGCTTTAAGCCATTTATTTTGGTGTGGCTTGTTATACAGCAAAAGCTAACTGATACAATAGCAGCCTTCTTCATGGTCCCCCTCACCCAAGCCTCTCACCTTCCTGGGCTCCAAGTTGTTTCACGGGGATGTTAAGGGACAATTGTCATCATTTGTATGTAAAATTCTGAATTTTTAAAAAAGACTTCAGGCATTTCAATTCTTAGATGGTATGTGTTAGTTTTACTTTTAATTCCTAACACAGTTTTCAGAGAAGGACACAACAGGGAAAGCACCCATACTTTTTCCTCTGTGCTATAGAATAAGTGCTTGTCAAACTTTTACATGTTGTGACTATCTTAGAGTCATAGAAATGGACTTGAAGAGACTTCAGATATTACCTCCAGTCTCCCTCATTAACAAAGGTAGAAAGTGGCTTTCACAACTTCTTGGACCTTCACTTTCTAACATTTTAAAGCTTATTTTACGAAGTTTAATTTGGAAAAGGTGAAGAAAAAAAAGATCAGTGCCCATAATGTTGCTATCTGTCCCTCCCAGAAGATATGCAATGTTATTTATGGTTCTAATGCAGGGTGACAAAGTGTAGGACAACCCATCTTCATCTCCCATAATGCCATTATGTATCTTTCAATCCGATTACAGACAGAGCAAGAAAATCCAGAACTAAAAGCAAGAATCGAGTCTGATCAATCAGAATTAATTTTACCAAAATGATATTTGAGATGCAACTATATGGCTTTGTGATTAGACACTGATGCTGGCATCCTCCCTGCAGAGAATACTGATGTTAAGATTCTGGTCCCAAGTGGGGCTCCACATCATCACCACAAACTGCCAACCCGCGCCCAGAAGTCCCCCTTGAAAACCAGCT